TGTCTAGTCTTTCAGGATATTGGCTTCACTATACGTTCTCATACTTCTCTGGATAGTTCTTTTCAGATTCCTTTGCTGGTTTTGTTTTATCTTCCTGTCTTATAAACATGTTGGAGGCTCTGTGAAATAACTCTCACTCTCTCTATCATCACTTCCCTGCAGAAGAGATTCGCCTTACATAGCTACATTCTTTTAAACAAATTTTTCAAATGCTTATTTATTTGAAAGGTAGCATTACGTGTATATATATATATATATATATATATAGAGAGAGAGAGAGAGAGAGAGAGAGAGAGAGATCTTCCATTCTGTTTCATGGCCCAAATGGCCACAATGGACAAAGCTGGGTCAGGCTGAAACCAGGAGCCCCGTACTTCATCTTGGGTCTCCCACATGGGTGGCAGAGGAAAAATCTCTTGAACTACCTTCTGCTGCTTTTCTAGGTTCCAAAGCAGAGAGCTGGCTCGAAGTGGAGCAGCTGGGACTCAAACCAGCACTTATATGAGATGTTGGCATTGCAGGAAGCAGTTTAACCTGCTGCATCACTATGCCAGCCCCAAATAGCTACATTCTAATGCCTCCCTATTTTTCCTCTAGCCAGACCTCTTCCTTGAAATACATACATACATACATATAATATATTGATACTTATGCATTAGTGAAATACATACCTATACGAATATATATAAATTTTTGTGTCTTCTATTTATCTATCTATAAATTAGTCTTCTATCTATCTATAAATTAGTCTTTCCTGAACTATAGGTATATAAAATTGCTTGTAGGGGCCAGTGTCGTGGTGCCACATGTTAAACTGTTACTTGTCACACCTGCATCCCATACTGAATACTGGTTTGAATCCTGGTTGTTCTGTTTTCCATACAGCTTCCTGCTAATGCACCTGGAAAGGCAGTGAAAGATGGCTGAAGTACTAGGACTATTGTTACCCATGTGGGAGACCAAGATGGAGTTCCTGGCTCCTGGCTTTTGCCTGGTCCTGACCTGGCTGTTGTGTCCATTTGCAGAGTGAACGAGCAGATGTAAACTCTTCCTCTCCCTCTCTCTGCCATTCTACCTTTGAAATACAAATTGATAAATATTTTTAGAAATTCTCTGTATTTTCTCTTGGCCATTTATGAGGCAGTGGTGTGCTAGTTAATGTTTAGTAACAAATCTTAGGTGTGGGAAATGCTGGGAAGGAAAACCTGTGGTTTTAGGATTTGTTGATAGTGGCTGCTTTCAAACCACCAATATGATGTGAACTGTCTCACAAAATTCCTAAAATGTTAACAGTTTGAGAGAACCACCAGATCCATTATATCATTTCTTTGGCATCTCAAACTGAAATCTCAAATATTCTTTCACTGAGACTGTTATTCCACTTCAGACTTGCTCTTATCTTTATAAGTCCAAAGCTCCTTACTTAATGTGCTTAGACAAGAATATTTAAGTCATTCTTTTGAATCCTTTGTAAGACTAAATATACCTGAGATCTAGCCATTTCCTTCTGCTTTTGTAACTACCTCTTGTGCAAATCTACTACCATGTCATAACCAGAATTACCTTAGTGACCTTTTTTAAAAAAAATTTATTTATTTATTTGAAAGGCAGAGTTACAGAGAGGCAGATGCAGAGAGAGAGGCCTTCTATCCACTGGTTCATTCCCCAAATGGCTGCAATGGCTGGAGCTGGGCTGATCTCAGGCCAGGAGCTTCCCCTAGGTCTCTCACATGAGTGCAGGCATCCAAACACTTGGGCCATTTTCCACTGCTTCCTTAGGTGCATTAACAGGGAGCTGGATTGGAAGCAGAGCATCCAGGACTTGAACTGGCACCCATTTAGGATGCCAGCTCTGCAGGCAGAGGCTTTATCCACTACACCACAGTGCTGGTCTTCCAGCCACTGGCTCACTGCCTAACTGGCTGCAATGGCCAGAGCTGTGCCAGGAGCTGAAGCCAGGAGCCAGAAGTGTCTTCCAGGTCTCCCATGCGGGTGCAGGGGTCCAAGGACTTGGGCCATCTTCTACTGCTTTCCAAGGCCATAGCAGAAGGCTGGATTGGAAGTAGAGCAGCTGGGACTCAAACCGGTGCCCATATGGAATGCCGGCACTGGAGGCGACAGCTTTACCTGCTATGCCACAACACTGGCCTCCATTTTAAATATTTTAAAAATAAATATAAATACAAAATCTTAAAACATATTTATTTTTAAAATAAATATTTTAAATAAATTATTAGAAGTGTAAATGAATGCACAGACTTGTATATAAATATGATAAAATATTATTCAGCTGCTGAAGAAATAATCACTGCTACATGAACAGCATAGCTGAATATCAAAAGTGTCATGCTAAGTGAAAGAATCCAGACACAAAAGGCTACATAATGAATGTCATCATTTATTCAAAATTCCAGAAAAGGCAAAAGTACAGTGGCAGAAAGGGTTTCAGCTGGGGGAAGTTAAGGGATTAGGCGTGGGGAGCCTGAAGGAGCTTTCAGGGTGATGGAAATGTTCTGTAACATGAATATTGTCATGATTATATGACACTATGTTGGTCAAAACTCATAAAATTGTGCTCTTAAATTTTAGTGTATATGAATTACCTGTAGACTATCTCTTTGTCAGTGTTCTTTGCTTGTTTAACTTATTTTTGTGCTTTTATTTCAAGAACACCATGCTTAATGTTTGAAATGAATTAGGTGATGTTTGTTATTTCTGGGATCTGGTCACTATTGACCAGTGCATGGTCCATGCTTAGAATTCTTCCCCTGGAGTATGAGAGGGTGATAAATTAGAAGGAAACAACTTCAATGAACACAATTATTCTAGCTAGCCTAAAATCCTTGAAACTATCACTAGACTTCACAAGGATTTAGATTTCCGGCTAGATGAGTGCTACTGAGAAGTAACTATATAAAATGTTAACATTGGAAATATAAATATATTGATAAAATTAAGGACTTTGGATATGGAATGATATTCTTGATTTTAAAATATCTGCTAATATATTTCTTGCATTCAGCTGTTTCAAAAAATAGTGATTTTTTTTATATTAGGTGGAGAAACGTTTATATTGGTCTCAAAGCATTTACATTATATAAATATAAATACATCTATTTATGTCATGATGGCTACAATAAAGAAATTATTGTGTACCTTAACAGTGAGCTCTGCTCTGCAATTTAAGGATAATCATATTGAAAATTTCAAGTGAAATGAATGTAGATATTAAATATGTACATTCTTAAAACATTTGGTTCTTCAGACCAGGGTTACTCTTTTTTTTTTTTTTTTTTTTTTTTTTTTTTGGACAGGCAGAGTGGACAGTGAGAAAGAGAGACAGAGAGAAAGGTCTTCCTTTTCCGTTGGTTCACCCCTCAATGGCCGCTGTGGCCGGCGCACCACACTAATCTGAAGCCAGGAGCCAGGTGCTTCCTCCTGGTCTCCCATGCGGGTGCAGGGCCCAAGCACTTGGGCCATCCTCCACTGCCTTCCCGGGCCACAGCAGAGAGCTGGCCTGGAAGAGGAGCAACTGGGACTTCTAGTCCCGGGGTGCTGGCGCCGTAGGTGGAGGATTAGCCTATTAAGCCGCAGCGCTGGCCCAGGGTGACTCATTTTAAAAGATGATAAATATTCTAAGTAAAAATCTTCTAAGGCTGTCTTGAAGATTTGAGGGATACTGTAAAGACTGTAGTGTTTCAAATGTGCTTAAGATAGATTTATTCTTGCTTCACATTTTATGTGAAAGACCACAGGCTATATTGTTCAGTATTTCCTTAGCTGAATCTCTCATGAATGTTTTGACTTACCAGATTTGTGGTGGATTTCCTAAACTCACTGGAGCATTCAGATGATGCTGAGGTTCTTATCAAGGATTCAGTTCTTCACCAAGGAATTTAGATTTCAGCTGGAAGAGTCCAATTACCCAGCAGGGGTACAGAAGTTACTTTTGGAAAACATACTTGGAATTACCCAAATGCACTTCAATTTTTCTTAGAGCAGTGGTCCTTATTTTTAATTAATTAAGAAAGAAAACTGGAGTAAATCTAAAGATTGTGTGCAAACCACTAAAAGTTCCTTGGGACTAAATTGTTCAGATGGTCATATGTCTGACTCTGGACGGAGGAGATTAGCTAAAACTATTTGCCAGGAATTGCTATGTTACTGCAAAGAGTTACCTTAGGTGGGCTTAAAGCTATGTGGTCCTGTATATTTGAGCTGAGGACTGGAAAACCTTCCTATTACATAAGGAACTTCTTCCTTTAGTCAAATTATGGGTGCTCAAAAGGTTTTAAAAAACATTAGTCAGTGCTTTCTTTTTTCAGGATTTGTGAGAAACAAAATAGTCCGGGCCGGCCTGCGTGGGAGACCCAGAAGAAGCTCCTGGCTCCTAGCTTCAGATTGGCGCAGCTCCGGCTGTTGTGGCCCATAGGGGAGTGAACCAGTGGGTGGACTACCTCTCTCTCTCTCTCTCTCTCTGGTCACTCTGATAGTCTTCAGGGATATTTCTTCTGGACTACAATGTCTGATGAAAAGCATTGTTCCTTTCAAATTGTCCTCCTCATGGAAGATGTTAATTTATCATGAATAACATCTGACTCTCTTCTATCATCCAACCTGACCAATCTTTTCTTGATTATATAGCCTTTCTTTTTTTAAATTTATTTTTATTTATGTAGTCTTTCTTCAATGAGAAAACAATATTAAATTTCCAGTTTTATATTATATTTATGTTATAGTCTTGTGTTCCAGAGATTTCATTCATACAACTTGTACAGGAATTTTAGCATTCTCAAATTGTTCAAAGCTACTTTATACTTTGATTTACTCTGATGATAAGTTATATCATCTTATAAGGGTTTATATAGTCTAATAGTTTGAAAGTTACCTTAATGCAAAGACCCTGAGAGCTACCATCCTGTTATGCTTATGTGTAACAGGTCTAAGTAGAAGCAAATAAGATTTATCTCTAACTTCATGTTTCATTACACTGGTAACAGAACACCCTTGCACCTGGCCTGTGCTAATGGATATACAAACATCGTATCTCTTCTAATTGAGAAAAAATGCAAAATAAATGTCCAGGATAGTGAAAACAGATCCCCACTGATTAAGGTGTGTTCTGTTTATTCCTTTTTAACTGGAATGTGTTGTATTTTTATCCAGTGAACTTTTGCTGATTTTACTGCTTGAAAATGTATTCCAGGTAGTACATGGGTGACTCATTTATTCTTTTGCTTCGATAGGCAGTACAGTATCAAAAGGAGAATTGTGCTACTGTTCTTTTATATCATGGAGCAGACCCAAATCTGCTAGATATTCATTACAATACCGCTCTTCATTATGCTGTTTGTGGTCACAGTGTCTCATTAGTTGAAAAGCTGCTTAAACACAAAGCTAATCTTGAAGCTAAAAATAAGGTAATTTTCTATTTTTTAAAAAATATATTTTTAGAAAACTACAGAAGATGGTATTTGTTTCAGATAATTCATGTCTGTATATTACATAAAAATTAATTTTTCAAAATGACATCAGAGAGGGGAGTGAGATTATAAAAAAACTGTTAGAATTTTCCTTATTTTAAAGCCTTTTTTATTTCATTGCAGACTAATCCTGACCTCCAAAGTAACGTCATATTTAGCAATGATAATTGCTTAAAGGATCATATCAAATATTTGACTCCCTTATATGTGGATATCAATAAAAGTCATACGACCTACTTTTCCATTTTATTGGTATATTAATGAGTAGTAATTATAATTGGGTTGAATCAGTTATACTCAAAATAACCTAAATTTTCTATTGTGACATTATGGGCAAATGATGAACACTTTTTTTTTGAAGCATCTTTTTTAAAAAGTGTTTTTAAATTAATTTATTTGAAAGCAGAGTTACAGAGACAAAGAGAAAGAGAGAGAGAGAGAGATAAAGAGATATCTTCCGTCCACTGGTTCACGCCCCTAATGGCTACAATGGCCTGGGTCAGGCTGAAGCCAAGAGCTAGGAGCTTCTTCTGGGTCTGCCATGTGGATGGCAGGGTTCCAAGTACTTGGACCATCTTCTGCTGCTTTCCTCACATTAACAGGGAGCTGGATTGGAAGCAGAGCAGCTGGCCCTATACTGATATGGGATGCTGGCTTCCCAGCAGCTTAACCATCTGTGGCACAGCTCTTTAAAAAGCACCTTGGGGCCGGCGCCGTGGCTCACTAGGCTAATCCTCCGCCTTGCGGTGCCGGCACACCGGGTTCTAGTCCCGGTCAGGGCGCCGGATTCTGTCCCGGTTGCCCCTCTTCCAGGCCAGCTCTCTGCTGTGGCCCGGGAGTGCAGTGGAGGATGGCCAAGTGCTTGGGCCCCGCCCCCCCATGGGAGACCAGGAAGAAGCCCCCTGGGCTTTCTACCCAATTGGATCAAGTGCGGGTGTTCCGGGCCGCAGTGCGCCGGCCGCAAGCGGGCCATTGGGAGGGGTGAACCAACGGCAAAAGGAAGACCTTTCTCTCTGTCTCTCTCTCTCACTGTCCACTCTGCCTGTCAAAAAATAAATAAATAAAAAAAAGAAAATAAAAAAAAAAATAAGAAGCACCTTGGGGCCAGTGCAGTGGCATAGTGGTTAAAGCTGCCGCCTGCCATGCTGGCATCCCATACGGGTGCTGGTTCAAGTCCCAGCTGCTCCACTTCCTATCCAGCTCTCTGCTATGGCCTGGGAAAACAGTAGAAGATGGCCCAAGTCCTTAGGCCTCTCCACCTGTGCAGGAGACCCGGAAGAAGCTCCTGGCTCCTGTTTGGATCAGCGCAGCTCTGGCCATTGCAGCCAACTGGGGACTGAACCAGTGGATGGAAGAGCTCTTTCTCTCTGCTCTCCTCTCTCTTTGTAACTCTGACTTTCAAATAAAATAAATCTTTTAAAAAAAGCATCTTAACACTTTAGTTCACTGATACTTTATCTGCATGAAGTCCAAAAATAAGTGCATTTTTGGAGGTGTAAATAGTATCCACTGGAAACTGAATTATGACAACAAAATGGAATGTGAATTGTTATAATACTTATATTAAATGCTACATGCCCATCACTTAATTATTTCAGTCTGCTTTTGTTCACAATTTGAATTAAGGTAACAGAAACTTTAATTTTTCAATTGGCTTAGCTGTAATTTATGTTTGAAAACAGATTTTGTTCTATATTAAAATCTTTTAAGTTAAAATATATATTCATAAGTTTATTATAAACATACTTATTTTAAAAATTGAACTTAAATCCAAAACGCGTGTAACTCTGGTACAACAATTTATTTAATCACTGTAAAATATCTTTTTTTTCAGGATGGGTATACTCCACTATTACTTGCTGTTTCTGAAAATAAGGCAGAAATGGCAGAATTTCTTCTGGAGAAAGGGGCAGATGTGAATACTTCAGATAAGAATCAAAGGTATAATTAATAAAGCTAAATAATATATAACTATAACTATGTAAGGATAGAAGAAATATATAGCAATATACATTTATGTATTTATTCTTAAATCTATATTCAGAACAATTCTAAATGTATATAGATACACATTTATATTCATATACACAAGTAAGCATGGATTCCAAAATTTTACACCAACAGTTACCTTTTCTGCCCCACTTTTTACATTGTTGCCTTGCCTGTTCCTAGTAGAGATTCTACATTTGAATGGTAAATTGAGCATCCCCAATTTGTCTCTTTTGCTCCAGAACAGCCCTTATGATTTCTCTCAGTGAGGAACCAACAAGTATAGTAAGCCATCTTCTTCAGTATGATGTGGATCTAACTTGCCAAGATATTTATGGATTTACAGCTGAGGAATATGCTTCTTTTAATGGTTTTACCATGTAAGTGATGCTGTATATCTTTCAATAACTGCATGTTATTTAAAAAGATTTATTTATTTAACCTGAAACACAGAGTGACAGAGAGAGAGGAAGAGATATGGGAGAGATCTTCTACCCACTGATTCACTCCCCAAATACACACAACAGCCAGGACCAGGCCTGGCCAAAGCCAGGAGACAGGAACACCATACAGGAGTCCTAGTAGGTGGCAGGAATCCAAGTACTTGGGCCCTCATCAACTGCTTCTCAGGCATATTAGCAAGAAGCTGGAAGTGCAGAGTAGCTGGGGTTCCAGCTGACACTCTTATGGGACGCAGGAGTCCCAAGTGGTCCCCTAAGTTGCTAGGCATCAATTCCTATCTGTGGTTTGATCTCAACAACAATGTGCCTTAGAATACGAAGCTATGGGGCCAGCGCCATAGCTCACTTGGTTAATCCTCCACCTGTGGCACCGGCATCCCATATAGGCGCCAGGTTCTAGTCCCAGTTGCTGCTCTTCCAGTCCAGCTCTCTGTTGTGTCCAGGGAGGGCAATGGAGGATGGCCCAAGTGCTTGGGCCCCTGCACCCGCATGGGAGACCAGGGAGAGGCTCCTGGCTCCTGGCTTCAGATCGGCGCAGCTCCAGCCGTTGCGGCCATTTGGGGAGTGAACCAACGGAAGGAAGACCTTTCTCTCTGTCTCTCTCTCTCTCTCACTGTCTATAATTCTACCTATCCAAATAATAATAAAAAAAGAATACAAAGCTGCAACAGGCTTAGCAACAGAGGTGACCCTATAAAAACCTTGGACCTATCAATTCGAGTACTTGATTTCCTCTAGTTTTGGGCTCTAATCAGTTTGAGGGCTGCAGGTGAGCTGAGTGAAACTGGATACCATGTAGATTAGAGGGCTTTGATGCAGGGCCCGTATCTGAATGAGAAATTCAGGAGAGACTCTCAGTGAACTGTTTGAAAACAACTTATTTTCCTTTTTAAATAGGTAAAATATCTCACAATTATTCAAATTAAAAATAAAATTTTCCTTATATTATCTGTTACCTTTGGAGATGTTTTTAAAAATTTTTTAAAAAGATTTATTTATTTGAATAGTAGAATTAGAGAGAGAGGGAGAGACAGAAAGGTCTTCCATCTGCAGTTCACTCCCCACTTGGCCACAATGGCCGGAGCTGCAGCGATCTGAAGCCAGGAGCCAGCAGCTTCTTCCAGGTCTTCCATGTAGGTGCAGGGGCCCAAGCACTTGGGCCATCTTCCATTGCTTTCCCAGGCCACAGCAGAGAGCTGGATCAGTAAAGGAGCAGTCAGGGCACACACCAGTGCCCGTAAGTGGAGGCTTACCTCACTATGCTACAGTGCTGGACCCTAAAAATTTTTATTAACATAAAGAGAATAAATTTCATATATTTCATAAATATAATTCTAAGAAGATAACCATTTTCCTCCCTTCTCTCTCCCTCAATCTCTCTCCTTCCTTCCTTTTATTTTTTTTAATATTTGCAAAATCATAATTTCAAGTTACTCTATAATCACAGGCTTAATGCACTACTAACCATAATATTCAACAAGTAAAAAGTAGAAAGACCATGGTTTCACAGGAGTGTTAAAAACATGCTTTAAATATTGCTACTACTGTTTCATTAGCCAACTTAAGTTTCATAATTCTTCATAATTTTTTTTAAAGATTTTTATTTATTTATTTGAGGGACAGAACTGCAAACTGAGAGAGGGAGAGACAGAGAGAAAGATCTTCCATCCACTGGTTCACTCCCCAAATTGCCGCAGTGGTGGGAGCTGGGCCGATTGGAAGCCAGAAGCCAGGAGCTTCTTCTGGGTCTCCCACGCGGGTGCAGGGGCCCAAGGACTTGGACCATCTTCCACTGCTTTCCTAGGCCATAGCAGAGAGCTAGATCAGAAGAGGAACAGCCAGAGCTCAAACTGGTGCCCATATGGGATTCCAGCCCCACAGGCAGAGGCTTAGCTCACTACACTACAGTGCTGGCTCCAGAATTCTTAAGTATATTTTTATTACACCATGAAGACAAAATATTTTCAAGTATGAGCATACATTTCTGATTTTTAATAGTCAATGAGAAAATGGGATACAATAATAGAACTTTATAGTTAATGAAGTTAAATGTGGGGAGCAATCCGGACTGGACTGAGTTACTGGAATTAGGACTTATTCTATGCATCTGCTCTCCCACAATATGGCGCTGGGAGAGAAGTAAACAGCTTCCGCACAGCTGCCTCCAGTTCAACCAATTAACTGTAGGACTTGCTCCTGATTGGAGAGCGGCGTGCTCGGTGTGTGGGCAGCCGAGTTGGGATTGGCGGAGGAGGACTATAAAGGAGGAGAGAGACGGCATGCACCAGGAACATCTATGGGGAACATCTAAGGGAACCCGTGCAGCCCCCCAGAGAGCCGGCCGGCGGTGTGCCGCTCCCCTGCGGAAGTGGGGAATGCGGCCAGGGGGAACTGCCCTTCCACGGAGGTGGAAGGGATAGTAGCCAACCCGGGAAGAACCAGCAGCAAACCCGGGGAGGGCCGAGCAGACGAAAGAACAGCGCAGGGTCCTGTGTCGTTCCTCCACGAAGAGGGGGAGCGACATAATGGTGCCGTGACTCGGATAGGAAACCTAGGACGGATAGCAAACTTAGGAGGGAAGAAACGGGAAGAACTGGGAAGGTACCGGAGAGAGAGACTAGCAAACAGCCTAGGGAAAAGCCGGACGAAAAAGGAGCCGGAAGAAGCTATTGAAAGCCTAGGCATAGACTCGGATACGGACTACGGGGGGAAGCTGGGAGAAATCTTTAAGGTCGAAAGCGAAAGTGAAAGCTAGAACAAACAGACTCGGACGCGGACTGTGGGGAGAGGCCAGGAGAAATGAGGGAGGAATATCGTTGGAGGAAAGCTTGGGGAAACATACCGGGTAGAGAAAAATGTTAGGGAAATTGAAGCCGCGGGGGGCAGGCCGAGGCGGAAACGGAAGCCACTTTGGGATTCTCAAGTTAGCCCGGGAATAGGGGGCGAAAAGTTGAAACTAGAAGCTGAAACGTGAGCCTGGTTGGGATCCGTCTGATTAGCCCGGGGAGCAAAGGACGGGAAGCCAAACCGTGGGGCGGAGACGTACGCTGGGTTGAATTCGCCAGGCTAGCCCGGGGAACTTGGATTGAATGCTAGTGGTGGAGACGCAAGCTACGCTGTGTTACTCGCGGAAGCCGCCGCGTGCAGAGAGAGCACGGGGCGTGAATAGATAGGGAACGCTGGCGTAGGCCGTGGTTCAGACGCGAAAGGGTTAAGCGTGGAGACCGCGGAGCGCGCGAAGCCGAGCTGCGCAAAGCCGGGAAGCTGCGCAGATGAGAGAGGCGCGCGGGCTGAAGCGGCGAGGTGCCGGGAAGCTGCGGGGATAAGAGAAACAGAAGTTTGGAAGTGAAGTAAAAGAGAAATGGGAATGCTGGAAGATAGAAGTGAAATGGGAGAGGTAGGAATGCCCGGAGATAGAGAAATAGAGAAAAATAAGGCCTCCCCTCAACATGCCAATTAGAAGGCTTGGATTCGGTCTGCCCGATTAGTGAGGCGATGAGCACCTGGGCGGCTAGCCGCAGGTCACCGAAGATAGGCACGAACCAACACTAATAAGTCTCCCCCACAATAAGGCAATGAGAAGGCTTGGATTCGGTTTGCCTGATAGGTCTTGTAAGTCCCCTGCAGGCAGAGCAGAGCATGCGCTGCAGGGCACCGAACACAGGCACGCATCAGCGCCTAAAAACCTCCTCACAACATGGCGAAGAGAGGACCCGGATTCGGTTTTCCTGATTGATAGGACTTGTAAGAGCCTGTGGCAACTCTAGCAAGTAGAGCAGAGTGTGTGCCGCGGGACACCGAAGACAGGCGCGTATCAACGCTAAAAAATAAAAAGAAAGGGGGATCTGTGGGGAGCAATCCGGACTGGACTGAGTTACTGGAATTAGGACTTATTCTATGCATCTGCTCTCCCACAATATGGCGCTGGGAGAGAAGTAAACAGCTTCCGCACAGCTGCCTCCAGTTCAACCAATTAACTGTAGGACTTGCTCCTGATTGGAGAGCGGCGTGCTCGGTGTGTGGGCAGCCGAGTTGGGATTGGCGGAGGAGGACTATAAAGGAGGAGAGAGACGGCATGCACCAGGAACATCTATGGGGAACATCTAAGGGAACCCGTGCAGCCCCCCAGAGAGCCGGCCGGCGGTGTGCCGCTCCCCTGCGGAAGTGGGGAATGCGGCCAGGGGGAACTGCCCTTCCACGGAGGTGGAAGGGATAGTAGCCAACCCGGGAAGAACCAGCAGCAAACCCGGGGAGGGCCGAGCAGACGAAAGAACAGCGCAGGGTCCTGTGTCGTTCCTCCACGAAGAGGGGGAGCGACAGTTAAAAAGCATATTTTTTTAATAATTTGATTTTACTTTAAAAATTATTTAGTTGAAAAGCAGAGAGAGGAGAGAGACAGAGAGATCCTTCATCCTCTGATTCACTCCACAAATACCTGCAATAACTGGGTTGTTGTAGGCTGAAGTCAGGAGCCAAGAATTTGATCCAGGCCTCCCATGTGGTTGGCAGGGACTCAAGTACTTGAGTCTGCTGCTTCCCAGTGTGCATATTAGCAAGAAGCTAGGATGCGTATGGAGCTAGGACTTAAACCCATGTACTTTGATATAAGATGTCAGCTTCTCAAACTGTGGCCTAATTGCTGCACCAACTGCCTAATTTTAAATTATACAAAAGTATATATTTTTGAAAGAGTTACACAGAGGGAAGGAGGGAAGGAAGAAGGGAGGGAGGGAGGGAGGGAGAGAATCTTGCATCTACTAGTTCATTCCCCAAATGGCCACAACAACCAGGGTTCAGCCAGGCCAAAGCCAGGAGCAGAACCTTCATCCAGTATCCCACATGGGTGCAGGGGCCCACAAACTTGGGGCATCTTCTGCTGCTTTCCCAGGTCCATTAGCAGGGAGCTAGACTGGAAGTGGAGCAGCTAGAACTCCAATTGGTGCCCATATGAGATGCATGAGCTGTAGACTGTGGCTTAACCTTCTGTACCAGAGTGCAGTCCCAATGGCCCCATATTTTTGAAATCTTAATTGAAAACTTTAGACATAAAGGAATTTATTTTCTATTAAATCTATCAACCATAATTGTATACTTTACTTCCTTTGTAATACTGGATATGTATACCTTTTTTTTTACCTTTATGCAAGCCATATATATATATATATATATAAATTTAAATAAAATAGATAAATTACTGTTGAGTGCTTGTACTATAAGTGTTCTTGATTTTATAAAAGACATCCCAGCTAATCCTTTTAAATGTGGAATTTCCACTACCACTTCAAAATTTTGAGTATATGACACTAGAAGACAAATATATCCCGTTTATTAATGTATCTGTTGGTAAAAAAACAGTATTTGTATATTTGAAATGACATGTTTACATCTATCAGTCTCATGAAGCCACTATTTCGGTAGTTCCATGGAAGGGAATCTCAGAATTTTTTATTACATCACCCCCCAAAATAGCTTTTTTTCTTATATCTTGATCCATCATGAATTTACCACTAAACAGAAACATGTTCATTTCATCATGGGATTTTTATTCTCTCAATATTGTTCTCATGTTTTCAGTGTAGAAATAGAGTTCTAGCAGAATTGTATTAGTTTCTTCTTTCAAAGAAATGAGAAGAGGTAGCTTACTAATGGTGAATCAGTTACCTGTAGGTTGTAGAAATGATCAACATTTAATTCAAATTGTAACTCATTCTTCTCAGCTACAGTCTAATTCCCCTTTCCCTTGTTCTGTAATTTACCCCTTTTGCAATGAGAAATAATTTTTCTGTAATCGTGACTGGTTGATCAGCTGTTGCATGTGGCCTCTGCTTATTGGTGTCACTGCTTAACTCTATTCCACAGATATTTTGTGGTGTAGAGTGGAAGCATAGACAACATTTCTTATGTGGCTTTGAAAATACAAGTGAAAACAGCTCAAATGGAGGAATTATGTTTAGGCATTTATTTTACAGTTAGAAATATATTTCCTTATTCTTCTCAGTGAAATTCTAAAATTAATGTGTTACCAGAATGAGTTCTTCTTAGGCATGAAGAGGTGGTTTGTTTTTCAAAAATGTTTACCAGCCCTGTTAAACCCGTGTTATGAGCTGAATTTTGTTTCTCCAAAATTTATGCTAAAGCTCTAACTCCAATACCTTAGATTGTGATTTTATTGGGACATAGCACCTTTAAAGAGGTGATGCAGTTAAGTGAGATGAGAAGGGTGGTCCCAATCCAGTCTGACTGGTGTCACTACAATAAGGTGATTAGGACACACAGAGAGCTGCCGGGGGACTCCTGCATGGAGGCACAGATGACCTATGAACAGAGGCAGCAAGAGGAAAGACCTGAAGCAACTCCTACCCTTAGGACTCTCATCCTGGCACCTTGATGTTGAACGTTCAGCCTCTGTAAAAGGCGAAAGACATAGGATCTGAAGAGAAACCAGAGTATAAGCCTCTGGAATTGAGAGGAAATACATTTCTGTTTTTGCCACCCAGGTATGATGTTCTGTTTTGGCATCCCTAGCACATGAAGTAAATACTAAGACGAATATAAGTGATTTTTTCCCCTACCTTATTGAGGGCTTTCTAAAAATCGTATTTGTGATAGCAGGAAGAAAAGAGGTGTCAGAAAATGGGAGTACGTGAAATATAAAATGGTGTCTGTTAACAGAGCAGGCTTATGAGAAAATTGTGACATATTTGAGGTGGCATCCTGCGTCAAGGTTTTGATTTCGTAACTGTGTTAATCATTGAACTGAATTTCTTTGTATGCTATAATTCACATGTATTTTCACTTTATGCATAGATATCATCAATTAATTGCTAATGATGGAAAGGAGAATAAAGTTAAGCAGAAGTGCTTCTTTGAAGATAAAACTGTAGGCACTAAGTCATGGAAGAACTGAGGGAAGGTAAGAATATACTAACTGAACAAGTACTTTTTTATTGCTTTCGACTTTTGTAGGAAGAGAAACAATTTTTTCAAGTAATATCTAAATCTGTAATGAAAATATTCTCCTATTTTGAAATGGTAAATACGTTTAAAAATTATTCTTTTTTATTTATTATTTATTAATTTGAAAGGCATATCCAGAGAGAGAGAATCTTCCACCTGGTGGCTCACTCCCCAAATGCCTGCAGTGGTTTGGGCTGAGTCAGGCCAAAGCCAGAAGCCAATAATTCCATCTGGGTCTCCCACATGGAAAACAGGGGCCCAACTGCTTGAGATATCTTCAGCTGCTTCCCCAGTTGCATCAGCAAGAAGCTGGATTGGAAGTGGAACAGCCAGGACTCAAACATGGCAGATGGACATGGGTTGCAAGTAGAATTACAAGCAGCAGCTTAACCAACCCTTTATGCTGTAATGCCAGTCCCAAGAAACATTCTTAAGAATATTTGTAATTGAAATATTCTGATACCATGTTGACCAAAAATATGATGTAAAGATATACAAAATGATTAAGATCTCTTTTTTTCCATAACCTCTTGACCACTTATAAAAATAATTTTTTCATGTATATAGATTTTGAGATATACAAACTGTATCTAATTTTAATTTTTTTTGACAGGCAGAGTTAGACAGTGAGAGAGAGAGACAGAGAGAAAGGTCTTCCTTCCATTGGTTCACCCCCCAAATGGCCGCTACGGCCTGCGCACTGTGCCGATCTGAAGCCAGAAGCCAGGTGCTTCCTCCTGGTCTCCCATGCGGGTGCAGGGCCCAAGCACTTGGGATCCTCCACTGCCTTCCTGGGCCACAGCACAGAGCTGGACTGAACAAGGAGCAACCGTGACAGAATCCGGCTCCCCAACTGGGACTAGAACCTGGGGTGCTGGTGCCGCAGCAGAGGATTAGCCTAGTGAGCCGCGGTGCTGGCTACTATATCTAATTTTGCTATAAAAAACTTCCAATTAACACATTTGATATTAGCTAATGTAAGATATATGAATGTATGTGTATATATGTAATACAAATGAATAAATATGAAATCATTACATAAAATTTAAAAGTAAGTAACTGAATTTGATTTACCCAAATCCATTAAAATAATCTGTGGTGTTCATTTTCAAAAATGCATACAAAGGTACTCCATGAAGTTCATGGAAAATGGAATTAAAATAAAAATTTATTTTGTTGCAAACATTTTTGAATGGACACAAAAGCTTTTGTTATGAAAAACCATGCATGGATTCAAAAATTCTCTTTGGCACAAAATAAACATCTTTTAATTCTATTTTACATGAACGTTTAGAAGTGCCCTATACAATTATTGTAAAAGATAGGTAGCTTTTTGTTGTTGAATATATCTTACACTGACTTTTTTTGTCAGATACAAGAACACTTTTTACAACCATTCTCTGTAACAACCAGCAACCATACTCCAACCCTACCCCTTAACCCATAACGTATAAAAGAGCAAAAACAAACAAACAAAAGGACAGACAGGGAACATGGTGGCAATAGGAAATCATATGAATGTCAACACTATTCAAACCCTCTCTTTTCCCTCACAGTTATGCTTACAACACTTTTTGACCCTATTGAATACAGATGTGTTATGAGGCAAGTTCTTGGAATTCCTCCATCTACACTTTTCTCATGTCTTCTTTTACTCTTTTTTTTTTTTTTTTGACAGGCAGAGTGGACAGTGAGAGAGAGAGAGAGACAGAGAGAAAGGTCTTCCTTTGCCGTTGGTTCACTCTCCAATGGCCGCCGCGGCCGGCGCGCTGTGTCCGGCGCACTGCGCTGATCCGATGGCAGGAGCCAGGAGCCAGGTGCTTTTCCTGGTCTCCCATGGGGTGCAGGGCCCAAGCACTTGGGCCATCCTCCACTGCACTCCCGGGCCACAGCAGAGAGCTGGCCTGGAAGAGGGGCAACCGGGACAGAATCAGGCGCCCTGACCGGGACTAGAACCCGGTGTGCCGGCGCCGCAAGGCGGAGGATTAGCCTAGTGAGCCGCGGCGCCGGCCTCTTCTTTTACTCTTAAAACATATTTCTATAAGTGCACATATAATGGGGCAGGTATTTAGTCTGATTAAAATGCCACTTGAGATTCCTGCATCCCATTTCGAAGTGCTTGTGTTTTTTTCCTGGCTTCTGATTTGGGCTTCCTGCTAAAACACCATGGGAGGCAAAAGATCATGACTCAACTAATGGGACCCCTACCACCCCATAGGAGACCTGCGTTCAGTTGCTGACTACTGGCCTAACCCCAGCTTTGTGGGCAACTGGCGAGTGCCTATCTTTGGCTTTCCAAAAGTTAATACAAAATCATAAAAACCTATGTAGCTATAAGAAGTAAAGAATTTCTGTGATTTATACCTCATTTATTAAGGGAACTAAAGCAGTAGAAACTACAGAGTAAGCATTTCTACATTTTGAGTATTTTCATGCTGATAAATATTTATAAACAATTCCATCATTTTACTCTGGCAATTCATGTTTCCAGTGAAAGGTTAATCTTTAAAATTTAAAATCTTTTAAATTAACTGAAAGGTGATCCCTGTTAAACATAAGAGTGGGAATAAGAGAGGGAAGAGATGTACAATTTGGGATTTGCTCAAGCTGACTTGCCCCAAATGGTAGAGTTAGAAACATACCAGGGGATTCCAATTCAATCCCATGAAGGTGGCATGTACCAATGCCATCTCACCAGTCCAAGTGATCAATTTCAGTTCACAATTGATCATAATGAAAGGACTAAGAGTCAAAGGGAGCACATAAACAAGTCTAGTACCTGCTAATACTAACTGATAGAATAAATAAAGGGGAGAGTGATCCAACATGGGAAGCGAGATACTCAGCAGACTCATAGAATGGTGGATGTCCTAAACAGCACTCTGGCCTCAGAATCAGCCCTAAAGGCATTCCGATCTGGCTGAAAAGGCCATGAGAGTATTTCAGGCATGGAAAGCCAAGACACTCTGGCAAAAAAAAAAACAAAAAAACAAAAAAACAAAAAAACAAAAAAAAAAAACAAAACCAACCCTAAATGAAAGATCTCTGTGAGTGAGATCCCAGTGGAAAGAACAGGTCTTCAAAGAAGGAGGTACCTTTCTCTGAAGGGAGGAGAGAACCTCCACTTTGAATATGACCTTGTCTAAACAAGATAAGAGTCGGAGAACTCAAGGGGCTTCCATAGCCTTGGAAACTCATGACTGGAGCCTAGGGAGATTACTGATGCCATAAACAGGAGTGTCAATTTGTAAAGTCAACAACAGGAGTCACTGTGCACTTACTCCTCATGTAGGATCTCGGCCCTTAATGTGCTGTACATTGAGGCTTAATGCTATAATGAGTACTCAAACAGTATATTTCACTTTGTGTTTCTATGTGGGTGCAAACTGTTGAAATCTTTACTTAATGTATACTAAACTGATCTTCTGTTAAAAAAAAAAAAAGAAGAAATTATCAATTCCCAACTTGACTCTCACTGGGATTAAACATGACAATAGGTCTGATCTGATTTCATCATCATTTAAAAAATCATCTATTATTTTTCACTTTATGTTTGTGTGGGAGCAAACTGTTGAAATCTTTACTTAATGTATGCTAAACTGATCTTCTGTATATTAAGAGAATCGAAAATGAATCCTCATGTGAATGGAAGGGGAGAGGGAGTGGGAAAGGGGAGGGATGCGGGTGGGAGAGACGATATGGGGGGGAAGCCATTGTAATCCATAAGCTGTACTTTGGAAATTTATATTCATTAAATAAAAGTTAAAAAAAAAGAAAAAAAAAGAAAAAAAGTTTTAAAACATAATAAACTATTAAGTCAAAAATTACCAAAATATACTGCAAGAATATGGTGAATTTGAGCAGTTGTATTTCTGTCAGATTCAGAGGGGATAACTCATTTGTTTTCTAAAATAACTATGAAGTTCAAAGCATCCATGCTGAATTGTAATTGTGTTGTAAGTCATAGCATTTAAGGAATACACTCAGGAGAGAAAATATCTGGACATAAATGAATTGCAAATGTCATTTGTTTTCCAGGTGTGTAATCTCATTTCTACAAAGCTTGTGCTGCTTCCTTGAATTAGAAAGTGGTTTGAAAGAGTAGTTAAGTGAACCATCATAAAAATTTTGCCTAGTACTCGTTCATTAAATGGAGAAATTTTTTTCACCTTAGAAAACATGAAGAAATTTCTCAAGAAATACATCTATATCATGAATCATCAATTGCAAAGATACAACTTGAATTCAGTATATAGGCAGAGGAAAATTTGTAATCAAAATACCAAGTTGAGTAACAAAGTGAACACTCTTAGGCATATGACAAAAAATTTAAATAAAATGAAAATACTAACATTTCAGCTATAAAATCAGGAAAAAGTAATTAAAATTTTGTGTGAAATTCTCTTATTTCCAATTACTTTCATTGATAAATGAAAGTTTATTTTCTTTTAGAAATTTATTTTTTTAGAACTACTACAGTAAAGAATACTCAGAAAACTTGGGTATTATACAAGAAAACTCACAGTCCTACTACCCAAACAATACATTTAAAATTTTTTGGCATGTTTTTTAGTCTTTTATAATTTGCCTAAGGTTTTTTTTTTCATCAAAGATAATTTAAATTTTTCTTTTTACCAACACTATACATTTTTTTTTTTGACAGCAGAGTGGACAGTGAGAGAGAGAGACAGAGAGAAAGGTCTTCCTTTGCCATTGGTTCACCCTCCAATGGCCACCACGGCCGGCGCGCGGCGGCCGGTGCACCGCGCTGATCCGAAGCCAGGAGCCAGGTGCTTATCCTGGTCTCCCATGGAATGCAGGGCCCAAGCACTTGGGCCATCCTGCACTGCACTCCCTGGCCACAGCAGAGAGCTGGCCTGGAAGAGGGGCAACTGGGACAGAATCCGGTGCCCCGACCGGGACTAGAACCCGGTGTGCCGGCGCCGCAAGGCGGAGGATTAGCCTAGTGAGGCGCCGGCCTTACCAACCCTATACATTTTAACACAGATTTCACTGTGATCTTTGCTATACCTTTATGTCATGAAACATGGTCTGGCTTTAGGAACGGCTGTTTCTTGGAAGACTTCCTTTGGCTGATTCCTGAGACAGCTTCTTCACCCTAGTTGGAACCTCAGTGAATGATGTATTATTCTGTCACATACAATGCATTGCTATCTATTTCTCTCCTTTTGTTTTTGAAATACAAGCTTCACGAGAACTTGAACTTTTTGTTTTCTACCACTTGTGAAATTCAGTTTGTTGGCCACGTTAAAAAAATTGCCTTTGTCAGGCAATATTTTAAAGTCTTTAAATTTCTTAAATCATGAAATCATCACACAGTCTTGTTGAGATGTGTGTTATTTGTATTCTCAACTTAAGGACGTTAGGCTGCAGAGCAATATGACTTATTGAGGGTTACTGAGCTAGGAAGCTGAGAGCTGGGATATAAACCCATGTACTCCAGAGTTGAATCTACATAGTTTGATGCCAGAATTCATATCATTAATCAGTACACCATGCCTTCTCTCTTAGGAGTGTCTGAATATATAGGATCCTCATAAACTCTATGTTTTAAAGGCTCAGAAGGAATATTTTAGTATTATTTGCAACTTATTTAAACCATTTTTTTCTATATCTGAGAAGAATAGCCTTGGTATTTTGATTGAGATAACATTGAATCTGAAAACTGCTTTCGGTACTATGGACATTTTGATGACTTTGATTCTTGCAATTCATGAACATGGAAGACATTTCCATTATTTTGTGTCTTCTATTTCTTTTTTTAATGTTTTATAATTTTCATCATAGAGATCTTTGATGTCCTTGGTTAAATTTATTTTATGGGACATAGACAAATTACAATCTTATCATTAACCCAGGTGCAGCCTATCTGTTTTTAAGCTTGATGAATCATTTTAGGGTTTTCATTGCTTTCCTAAGTGTGATGTAGTGTACTGCCATTGTCTGAGTGTTTTAGATCATAGTTTCAGACCAGAATGTCATGGTGGAAGGTGCTTTCTCAGGATAGAGTCTCAGGTGCTCCAAAGTGGAGTCCCTACTGTCAAGGTGTTACGTCAATTTCTTCTATGACCCACTGTTTGTTCAGGAACATGTTATTCAGTCTCCACATATTTGCATATGTTCTATAGATTCTTGAGTTCTTGATTTCCATTTTCATTCCATTGTGGTAAGAGAAGATGGCATGGTATGATTTTGATTTTTTTGAATTTGCTGAGACTTGCTTTATGGACTAGCATGTAGTCTATCCTAGAGAAAGTTCCATGCACTGGTGAGAAGAATGTGTATTGTGCAACTATAGGATGGAAAGTTCTGTAGATATTTGTTAGGTCTGTTTGATCCATAGCATCAATTAACTCTGTTGTTTCCTTGTTGATTTTTTTTTCTGGTTGATCTGTCCATTGGGTGTCGATGTTCCCCATTACTATTGCATTGGAGTCTAGGTCCACCTCTTGTTATGCCAATATCCCATATAAGTGCAGGTTTAAGTCCTGGCTGTTCTACTTCTGATCCATTTCCCTGCTACTGATGCACTTGGGAGTGTAGTAGAAGATGATATGTGGGAGACCTGGATGAAGTTCCAAGCTCCTGGCTTCTGCTTGGTTCAACCCTGGCTGTTGTGGCCATGTGGGGAGTTAACCAGTGTGTGCTCTCTCTCTCTCTGTCTCTCATTCTCTCTCTGTAACTCTGACTTTTATTTTATTTTATTTTATTTTATTTTATTTTATTTTTGACAGGCAGAGAGTGGGCAGTGAGAGGAGAGACAGAGAGAAAGGTCTTCCTTTGCCGTTGGTTTGCCCTCCAATGGCCGCCGTGGCAGGTGCACTGTGGCCGGTGCACTGCGTTGATCTGATGGCAGGAGCCAGGTACTTATCCTGATCTTCCATGGGGTGCAGGGCCCAAGTACTTGGGCCATCCTCCACTGCACTCCCTGGCCAGAGCGGAGAGCTGGCCTGGAAGAGGGGCAACCGGGACAGAATGCGGCGCCCCGACCGGGACTAGAACCCGGTGTGCCGGTGCCGCAAGGCGGAGGATTAGCCTAATGAGCCACAGCGCCGGCCTGTAACTCTGACTTTTAAATAAATCTTTAAAAAGTTTTATGTTTTTGTAGCATATTTTAGAAAATCTAAATTGATCCTTCATTCACAATGGTATATGGGGAGAAAATCTTTATCCATGTTTAAAGTTTTAAGATACTTGAATACATAAAGATCCCTGTGTCAGTTCTGAATATAGAGTTGTTATCATTTTGAATGAATTAACATCTTCTCCAATAGCTGCTACATCTAAACACATACCAGCCAGCTATTAAAATTAAATGTTGAATGTTGTTGAATGAATAAGATATTTAATAAATTATAAGTATTTTTCAGTGCTTGGGAGCATCTATAACTCTTATATTGAACTCAGTTTTTTCAATACTTAGCAAGAAGAATGGTTAAAAGCTAGAAGGCTTATTGTTATTACAAAAGAATGTGTACACAAAATTGTTAATTTATATACCTAGACTACAGATGTCGGTCTGTGTATGTTTTTCCTGATTTGCTACTTTTGCATTTTTTATATTCAGGGTTTTTATAGTTCAAGGAAATAGTGAGTGGAATTGCGCTGCTTTTGCTAGGAACTATTTCATCTGGGATTTTGTTGGAGTATTCACCTGGTAGGGACCTGTAAGTGTACTCTAGGTTAATTGATTACTTTAAGCAATTCAGGCAATTGAGAGTGTTAGACCAGAAGTTAATCAATGTGTGCTTTAAAAGGTGGTTATTCACAAAGAAGAGTCAAATGTTCCATTCAATACTTGCTCAGTTTTCTTACAGTTACTCATTATATGTCAGCACATACTTAGTCATGGTAATACTAAGATGAAAAACAATGTATATTCTAATTGGATTTTTCAGATAAATAGAGAGGTTAGATTTAAAATCTCTTACCTTCTTTTTAAGAAATTGTTTTAGTTGATGTGATTCCCTATGCCCATATTTAAACAGAATCATAACAAATCCTAATATCACTTGCCCTTACACGAACTCCATTTGAATGTGTGTGGAATCTTGAATGTGACAAGGCGTCACTCCTTAATTATGTCACCTTAAATGGCAAAAGGCAGATTATCCTGACCCAATCACATAAGCCTTCTAAATCTAGGCTTAGAGGTAAGACATAGAAGACAGAGAAGCAAGTGTGGTGGTCACTTGCATTGAGGGAGATTTTCTTGCTCATTTTTAATGATGAAGAAGGCCATGAGGCAAGACCTGAGATGAGCTCAGAGCTTCCCTTGTCCAACAGCCAGTAAGAAAAAGGTGCCTCCATCCAGAAAAACAAACACTGAATGCTTTCAGCACATGTATGAGAATAGAACTGGGTGGACCAGATGAGAAAGCAACTTGTGGATGTGTTGATTTGCCACCATGAGCAGGGAATCCAACCACCTGTGTTGGAACTTGTGCCCCTGAGAGGGTGAGTTCTCCCATGGCTTAGAGTTCAGTATGCAGGAGTCTTCTACCTCCCTAGTTCAGTTGAGTCTTTTTGATGCTGTTGTAAAGAGGACTATTTTTCTTAATTTCATTTTTCTGTTGTATAATAATAGTTCATTGCTATTACAAAGAAATGCAGCTGACTTTTGTATATTTGTGTCCTGAAACTTAATTAGTTTCTAAGTTCTTGAGTGAAATCTTTAAGAATCTGGAAAGGTATTCCATATGTAAGATCATGTCAACTGTAGACAGATTGCTTTAATTCTTTTTTTTTCCAATTTCTTTTTTTAAAATTTTTTTATCCTAATTATTCTGGCTAGAACTTCTAGTACTTTGTGAATGGAAGTGGCAAGAGTGACCATGTTGGTCTTAATCCTGGTATCAATAGAGAAGCTTTCAGATTTTCACCATTGGGCAGGATAATAACTGTGGACTTGGGTGATTTTCATTATGTGTAGGTAATTTTCTTCTAAGTTTGTTGTGGATTGATATTATGAAAAAGTGTTGAGTTTTGTCAAGCACTTTTTCTGTATTGATTGTGATGATCATGTGACCCTTATCCTTTATTCCATCTGTGTGGTGTATTACATTAGTTGATTTTGTTTGTTGGACCATTCTTCCATCTCAGGGATAGATCTCCCTTGGTCAGGATGTATGAAATTGATTTGCTGGTATTTTGTTGGGGGTTTAGCATCTATCTATCTTCATCAGGGCTCATAGCCTTCTTTTCTTGTAGAAACAGTTTGGCTTTGGAGTTTGGAGAAATGGTGGCTTCATTAAAAATGCATTTGGAGTGTTCCTTCCTCTTTATTTTTTGGAAGAGTTGTGTAAATTCTCCCTTAAATGTTACAATTCCCTGGTGAAGCTATGTGGTCCTGAGATTTTCTTTGTTGGGAAGTTTTTGATTGCTGAATTAGTCTCATACCAGAATAGGTTTGCTGCTTTTATCCTTAAAATACGAGGTCAAAGGGAAGAATCCTTGCAGGTAGTTTGTGTTCTTGTTTCATTTGCTTACTGTTGATGATATTCCTGATGATTTAGGTGCATACAAGGAAAAGGTGAAAATCGCATCCATAAAAATCTCTGTAAATCTGCCTAAAATTTCTGAATAATTAATGCTGCATTTTAAGAATAATTCATGCATAATAGAGAGACTTGGAAAAAATGGGCCTGATCCCATGAAATCATATCATTTGCCTTTTCATTAAAGTATAAGAAATTAACTGACTGATGATTTTTCTATTATTTACAGCTAAACAGATTGAACTGTGTGTCCTGATTTCCAAAGATTGGCCACTCCTGGGCAAAGAGGAAGAAGAACATGTATTTTATGAATCAATCTTGTTTGTTTTTTTAAGTTACAGTAAAATGTCTCCTTTTGTATTCAAATAAACCAAGCTAAATATGTTATAGGATGGATACCACCAAATTTCTTTAATAAATTGAAGAGAAGCAAGTATGCTGGCCACCTGCATTGAGGTGATGGAGATTCCCTTGCTCTCTTTGAAGATGAAGACCGGAGAGGAGCCCTGTTTCAGGTTTAGGTTATCTATCCCTTACCCCCTTTCACACACATAGATACACACAGTTTTTGCAAGAACAATCACCCACCTTTTCTCTATTTCCCTCCCTCTCTCCCTCTCTCTCTATTGATTTTGAAAGTCAGAATTACAGAGAGATAGGAAGAGACAGAAAGATTTTCCATCCCCTGGATCACTCTCCAGATGGCACCATGGTCAGCCCTGGGCCAAGCTGAAGCCAGGAGCCAGGAGTTTAATCTGAGTCTCCTATGTGGGTGGTGGGGGCCCAAGAACTTGGGCTATGTTCCCCTGTTTTTCCCAGGCCATTAGGAGGGAGCTGGATTATAAGTAGAGCAGCCAGGAATTGAACTGGTGCCCATATCGGATGGTGGCATCAGCTTTACCTGCTATGCTGGCTCTACCAGCTTTTCTCATAAAAGTCTTGGTTGTACACTTGAGGCCTGCATAGCTGAGTGAGATACACCTACTTTGAGACTTAGAACCACTGGGAATATTGATGAATCCAGAGTTCAGCAGGAAGCCTGAAACACTGAGTGATATCTGAATCTGCTGCCCTGGGCTATTCTGTTGTTATTAATATTATTAAAGTCAAAATATAATCTTGATTAAGGAAGACGTGTGAAAGAATGGGAACCTGGGAGGTGGAAGTTCTGGAAGGGCTCTGGAGTTTAATCAGCTGATTGCTGAAATAAGGGAATTCAAAAAGTTCATGGAAAACGTGTATCATGAAAAAATTATGCATGGATTTCGAATTTTTTTTTTGCAACAGACTGAACTTATCTTTTAATTTCATTCTTCATGAACTTTTTGACATATTCTCACGTACCATGGAATATCAGAATTTCTGGTAAATCAATGGCAGTCTATTTAAATACTGTAACTAGGTAAGGAAATGATTGCCATGCAAGCTACCAACAATTCTATTGTGTCATTCACTCTGATTTTCCCTGTCACTGCCACCCTCCCCCTGTGTTTTGAGAATCGCTGACTCAGAGGTAACCTGAGGAAAATGAAGTGTGCATTTTGTTAGCTAATTCACATAGAGATTAAGACAAAGGGAAGAAGTAGAAGACTACAGATCTTATAGATGTACAAAGTGTATTACTGTATACTTGTATAAAATCCTTGCCTTTAATCTGAGCCAGAAATACCGAATGATGATGATTGCCTTGACTATTTAAATATTTCTGGGGCCTACTTTTAATTTTCACTTTAATATTTCTGTGATATGGATGTCTATGATACCATAGATAATTGATACCCACAAAATTATAGACTTTCCTTCTAGATGATTTTTTTCTGAAGATTTATTTATTTATTTGAAAGGTAGAGTTACAGAGAAAGAGAGAGCAATCTTTTATCTACTGATTCACTCCCCACATGAAATGGCAGAGGCTGGGCTAAGCTAGGAGCAGGAGCTTCTTCAGGGTCTCCCACATAGATTCAGGGCATCTTCTGCAGCTTTCCCAGGCATATGTATAGCAGGGAGCAGGATTGGAAGTAGAGCAGCAGGGTCTTGAACCAGCATCCATGTGCGATGGCAGCATTGCAGGCAATGGCTTAACTTGCTATGCCACAATGCCAGTCCCATTAGGTGATGTTCTTGTAAGCTGTCTTCGTTAACCATTTCTAAGAGTTTTTGAAAAATAATTTATTGAAGCTTCTGAATCCTCTTTAACTGTTTGTCACATGATCAAAAGCTAGGCAACTGCAGGTTGTAGGGGATGACAATTTAAAAATCAGTCTTAAGAAATAGAGTTTTGGTTATCACTGTGGCATAGTGGGTAAAGCTGCCACCTGAGGCATCAGGATCCCATATGGAAACTGGTTTGAGTCCTGTCTCTCTACTTCCAATCCAGCTCCTTGTTTATTCACCAGGGAAAGCAGTGGAAGACAGCTCAAGTGCTTAGGTCCCTGCACGCATGTGAGACTTGGAAGAAGCTCCCGGCTCCTGGCTTCTGATCAGCCCAGCTCCGGCCATTGCGGCCATTTAGGGAGTGAACCAGCAGAAAGGTTTCTCTGTCTCTCCCCCGCGCTCTCTCTGTAATTCTGACATTCAAATAAATAAAATAAATCTAAAAAAAAGAGTTTTTGTCTATAAGTATGTCTAACTGATGTATACTAAACTGCTTTTCAAAAATATCTTGGAATCACTTTAATTTAGGCTATTCTTTAAAAGTGCTGTGTACTGCAAATGAAGCTCAAGAACTAGAAAACTAAATATGTAGTTAAGTACACTTGATTTTTTGAAAATTTAGAAGTCAAGAAGTTCCAAAAATTATTTGAGGGGCAGAGAAAAGAAAGAGGGAGAGAGAAAATTCCCACCTTCTGGTTAATCCTCAAATCTCTCTCCTCAATCGTTAGGGGTGGGGAATAACAAAGCAAAGAGCCAGGAACTCAATCCAGGTCTCCCACATTGAGCAGCAACTCAGTTACCAGAACCATCACTAACTGATTTTCAGAATGCACATTAACAGAAAGCTCGAATAAGGAGATGGAGCCAGGAATCAAACCCAGGCACTCTGATGTTGGATGCAAGCATAATAACCAGTGTCTTATTCACTAGGCCAAACGCCTGCCCCTCACAATGTTTTATATCCTATAGCAGAAACCAGCCGAAGAACAAATAACTTATTTAGGGTGAAGGAAAAAATTACAGCAGAATTCCTTTTAGGAATTGTGTTATCTCTAAGATAACAGAGGAAGCCATCTTAAAAACACCAAAAGAAAAAAAAAAATCTAGAGTTACATACCCATTTAATATCTTTCAGAAATGAAGGTGAAATTGCCTCTTTTTTTTACACAAAGAAAATGCATTTCTTCCCAGCGTGCATGACATGTTAAAAAAAAGTTCTTTATTCAGGAATTTAACAACTGATGGAAAGCTAAGTGAACAAACAAGAAGACTAGAGATGGCAAATTTGAGAGTAAATATAAAATTTGCTTACAAATTTAATGACATCTGTAAATAAGCAGAAGTAATATATTTGACAATAAAGGAGAGAATGAGGAGGAGAGGATTATGGAAGTATACTACTCTGAGTTTCTTAGGCTTCGTGTGAAGTGGTTTAATATTCCTGTACGACAGACTGTGATAAGAAAACCTACATAGGTCGGGCACTGTGGCGTAGCAGGTAAAGCTGCTGCCTGGAGTGCTGGAATCCCATATGGGCACTGGTTCAAGACCTGGCTGCTCCACTTCCGATCCAGCTCTCTACTATGGCCTGGGAAAGAAGTAGAAGATGGCCCAAGTCCTTGGGCCTCTGCAACTACACGGGAAGACTGAGAGGAAGCTCCTGGCTCCTGGCTTCGGATTGACGAAGCTCCAGCCATTGCAGCCAATTGGGGAGTAAACCAGCAGATGGAAGACGGACATTTCTCTCTCTCTCTCTCTCTCTCTCTGCCTCTCTGTTCTTTTCCTCCGCCTCTCCTTCTCTCTCTGTGTAACTCTGACTTTCAAATAAATACATAAATCTTTAAAAAAAGGATATCTATATAGCTACCTATGACATCCAGGCAGTCATACACTTTTTAAATAGACGTAAATAATAAGTGAATAGTGAGGATGAAACAGAATCAATAAAAATATGTAGTTGCTCTAAAAGAATGTAGGAAAGGAGAGCAAAGGCCAAAAAAGCTGAGATAAATAGAAGCAACACATGGTAGGTTTAAATACAAATATGTTAGTGATTATGTTATATGCAAGTTAACCAAACTCTCCATTTAAAAGACAGAAAGCAATGGGCTGGGGGTGTGGTAAAACACTGACGATGCCCATTAGGGCTCTCACATCACATATTGGAGTGCCACCATTCAAATCCAGGCTCTGCTCCCAATTCCAGGTTCCTGCAAATGCACACACTGAGAAGCAGCAGGTGATGGCTGAAATACTTGGGTCCGTGCCACCCATGCTGGAGACCTGGATTGAGTTTTTAGCTCATAGCTGTGGCCTGGCCCAGCCTCAGCTGTTATGAGCATTTGAGGAGTGAACCAACGGGTGGAAGTTCTCTGCCTGTCTCTTTCTCTACTTTTCAAATGAAATAAAAATAAAAAACTTTGTGTTGAGTGAAATAAGCCAATCCCAAAGGGACAAATGCCACTTGTTCTCCTTGATAGGTGACAACTAACTGAGCACCAAAAAGGAAACCTGTTAAAGTGAAATGAACACTAGGAGAAATGGTGACTTGATCAGCCCTCACCCTGACTGTTGATGAGCAGCTTAATATGTTATACCTCTTAGTATTTTTTTTTGTTTGTTCTACTTAATACTTTGGTTGAATACTGTAATCAATACACAATTCTTCTTAAGTGCTGAAACTTAACTGAAAAGTGATCGCTGTTAAATATAAGAGTGGGAATAAGAGAGGGAAGAGATGCACAATTCGAGACATGCTCAAGCTGACTTACCTCAAATGGTAGAGTTAGAAACATACCAGGGGATTCGAATTCAATCCCATCAAGGTGGCATGTACCAATGCCATCTCACTAGTCCCAGTGATCAATTTCTGTTCACAATTGATCGTAATAATGGGACTAAGAACCAAAGGGATCACATAAACAAGAATAGTGTCTGCAAATACTTGCTGATAGAATCAAAAAGGGAGAGAATGATCCAACATGAGAAGTGAGATACACAACAGACCCATAGAATGGCAGATGTCCTAAACAGCACTCTGGCCTAATAATCAGCCCTTAAGGCATGCGGATCCGGCTGAAATGCCCATGAGAGTATTTCAGGCATGGAAAGCCAAGACACTCTGGGGAAAATAAAAACCTAAATGAAAGATCTCCACGAGTGAGATCCCAGTGGAAAGAATGGGTCATCAAAAAAGGAGGTACCTTTCTCTGAAGGGAGGAGAGAACTTCCAC